AATATTATTATTACTATTATTACTATTATTTTAATTATAATTATTATTATTGTTATTTTATTGTTATAATAATAATAATAATAATTATTATTATTATTATTATTATTATTATTATAGTTATTATTATTATTATTATTATCATTATTACTATTATTATCATTATTATTATTGTTATTATTATTATTATCATTATTATTATTAATATTATTATTATTACTGTTAATATTATTATTATTTATTATTATTATTATCATTATTATTATTATTATTATCACTACTATTATTATTTTTTTTGGTAACTACATTTTATTAATTACCAAGAACAAGCCATACAAACCAAGTAGCTATCACAACATACTTCAACCTTAACAAAACTTGTAAAACAGACTCAACACCTACATCTACACGTCTAACTACTTAACTACCATATGCTGAGTTCTTACAATAGTACTGTAGCTTATCTCTTTAACAATTTGCTCCTCATTTCTACTCTTGTGTTCAAAGATTCGACTATTTCTCTACATTCACAATCCATATATACCTTCAGCAAGTATAGCCTTGAACATTAGAGCAGCTGGCCTCTTCTCTTTTCCATGTATAATGCACCATTGCACAAATTGCTCCCAAGTCAGTGGAACTTCAGTTTGTTTCTTCATTGAACTTAACAATCTCTCCCATATTCTTCTTGCATAGTCACATTGTAGAAACAGATGCTCAGCAGTTTCTTCTTCATTCTTGCACATCACACAAATCTTCTCTACTTCAATTCCCCACTGAGCTAGTCTATCCACTGTTACCAGCCTTTGATTCAGCATGATCCACATTGTGAAGTAAGCTTTTGGTCTTGCAACGTTGTTGAACATAAGACATCTCCATACTGGCTTTTGTTGTTCTCCCTTCATGTGTTCATACAATTGTCTAATCACCCCTTTGTTCTTCCTTTGTAGCTGCTGGCCTTGCTCCACATTTTGTTGTGCACTCATGATTTTTTGTATCATCCAGCTTGCTTGTTTCCTCCTCTGCCATTCTCTTTGCCCTTTTATATAGTATGTGTGAATCCATTTGATCCACAGTTTATCTTCCTTGTTAGTTAGATCCTAACATAGTTTAGCAATTGCAGCTCTATTCCATATCTTTAGATTAATCAATCCTATGCCTCCTTCACTTTTAGGACAACACACTTTCTCCCATGCTATCAATGCCTTCTTTGTAACCTCTCCAACCCCTGACCATAAGTAGCTTCTGCATATTCCTTCAATCACTTTTATTATCTTAGCTGGTATGATAAATAACTGTGCCCAATAAGATTGTACTCCAAACAAGACTGTCTTAATCAATTGTGCTCTTCCAGCATAGGACAGTTTTTTGGCTGTCCATGACTTGATTCTTGTCATGATCTTGTCTATAAGGGGATACCATTGTATTATACTCAGCTTCTTTGTCGATAGGGGCACTCCCAAGTATTTGAAAGGCAGTTCCTCCATTGTGTAGCCCAATTGAAGCATAATCTCCTGCTTTATCTCCATTTGTACTCCTCCATAATAGATAGAACTTTTTGCAAGATTTGCTTGCAATCCTGAGGCTTGAGAGAAGTCTGAAAAACATCTTTGCAGCATCTTAATAGACTCCATATCACCTCTTGAGAACAATAGAAGGTCATCTGCAAAGGACAGATGAGTTATGGCCAACTTTGAGCATTTGGGATGGTATTTGAACAATTTCTCTTCTTTGAGTCCTTTGAGCAATCTACTAAGATATTCCATAGCTATGGCAAACAGGAATGGTAACATAGGATCACCTTGTCTAAGTCCTTTTGCAGCATCAAATCTCTGAGTAGTTTGTCCATTCACAACAACAGTGTAACTCACTGTTTTTACACACTTCATTACCCATTGAGTAAACATGTATGGAAATCCCAGACCTCCCATTACCTGTTCTAAAAAGGACCATTCAACTGAGTCATAAGCTTTCTGTAAATCTATCTTCAGCATACTCCTAGGAGATATATTCTTCCTAGTATATGATTTAACCAACTCATGAGCTAGTATAATGTTGTCTGCAATCTTCCTCCCTGGTATAAATCCAGCCTGACTTTCACAAATAATATCATTCATGACATCATGCATTCTCCTTGTTATCACCTTTGAGATGATTTTATAGATCACAGTACAACATGCTATAGGTCTGTATTCTTTCACAGTTTTAGGACTTTGAACCTTTGGAAATAGTGTCACAAGAGTACAGTTGAAAGGTTTAAACAACTCACTTGTTGTGAAGAACTTTGTGATAGCTGTAATAACATCTTTCTTAACAATCTTCCATGCATGCTTAAAGAATAAAGCATTATAACCATCTATGCCTGGTGCCTTATCACTCCCAATAGACTGCAAGGCTTCATATATTTCTTGTTCTGTTACATCTGTGCACAGCTGAATTCTTTGTTGCCTGTATAGCACTGGACCTCTTTTCATCACCTGAGCATTGATGGCTGGAAGTTTGTCAGCTGAGGACCCCATAAGACTTCTATAGAATTTGACAAACTCCTCTTGAATCTCCTGAGGCTCATACAACATCCTTCCATCCAGAGATAAAATATTCCTAATATGCTTCTTTTCATTTCTTTCTTTTATCACTGAGCTGAAATACTTATTGTTTGTATCCCCAAAGTGATCCATCTAGCTCTTGCTTTTTGCCTTAAAGCATTTTCTTCTAGCATTGACCATTTCTCCAGCTGTATTAATAATTCCTTCTCCTTAATAACTAGATCATCTTGTGCCTGTCTATAGAGTTTCTCTTGAAGTTCTTCCAGTTCACTTCTTGCCTTCTCAATCTTCTGGCCTATGGATTGGAACTCTTTCTTATTCAATTGCCTCAAGATTGGTTGGAGAGCCTTCAACTTATACCATATTCCTCTCATTACTTCAGTTCCATATTCCTGCTTCCATATTGTATCCACCATGTCCATAAATGACTCATGCTCAATCCACACATTAAAGAATTTAAATCCCACCCTGGTCTGGTGATAACTCTGCTGAAGTAGCAAGTGCATAGGACTATGATCTGACTCACCTGGGATCCCATACTCTACTATAACATGACCCCATTTATCCATCCAACAATCATTCCCAAAAGCTCTGTCTATTCTACTAGCAATTCTGGCAGCACCTACCTGTTTACTTGTCCAAGTATAGTAATTTCCTTTCCAATGGACTTCAGTAATTCCCATATCTTTAACACAATCTTCAAAGTCCTTGATTTCATTCATAGTAACAGGAACTCCATCTACTCTATCTTGAGGAGATAAGGTAGCATTAAAATCTCCTATGATGAGCCAAGGATCTGTCACAATGTGAACTAACATCTTCAGTTCCCTCCATAAATTTCTCCTCATTTCTGAAATATTGTAACCATATACTACTGTGACTTTAAACTGATACCCTTTACTTCTTTCATTAACTAGACAATGAACCATTTGAGCATTACTCTTTATCACCTTCACCTCATACCAACTATCATCCCATATTACCCATATTCTTCCATTTACAGCCTCCTTATAGTTGTGGATAATCTTCCATCCTGGAGCAATTGCTTTTAGGATAGTATTACTATTTGCCTCTTTAACTCTAGTTTCAATTAACCCAGCTAGAGAAGTCTTATTCTGTTGTAGCAGTAGCCTAATCTCCTTTTGTTTATACCTTTTATTCATTCCCCTCACATTCCACACACTCCACTTTATAACAAGTCTTTGGATCTCCACCTCTATCCACAGGAAGTGAAACAAGTTTACTATTCCTTAAACTCTCAAATCCATTTCTAACTGGTATAGCTGTAAGTATAGGGAAGTTTGTTAAGCTGAATTCCAG